TGGCCGTACTACTAGGAGCAAGAACGCTACTAGGAACAAGAAGCTACTATAGGGGCTCCTGGCATCGCTACTAGGAGCAAGAACGCTACTAGGGGCTCCTGGCCGTACTACTAGGAGCAAGAACGCTACTAGGAACAAGAAGCTACTAGGAGCAAAGTAGGAGTGAAAACTTTTCGACTCGAAGCATCACAAGCATCACCTCCTCTTAGATCGTGGACGCTCGCAGGAAGCGGTCGAGTCGCAGAAACTTTTGGAAGAGCCGCTCGCATGCAAGCCGAAACAAAGGTCTTCGGGTGTGCACAAAGGACCCAAAGGATGAGCAGCGGCTGCATGGTTAGGCTGCATGGTTATGCTGTTGGATAGACTGTCGTGTGGAGACTGGTTCCTTCCAGCAAAGACTTTTTGGCTGCAAACCCAGAGAGCTCAAAAACGACTCCAAGATTTCATCAGAATCCTGGACACGCCACACCTCAGGCAGCTCTTAAAAGTCAAAGACCAGCTCACAGAGGAGATGGAGAATCCCAATCTCTCTGTGTACAACCCGATCTGGCATCACATCTACATAGCCCGGTTTGGTTTGCCTGAGACACTGACATACCGGACTAACACGTGACGAACAACCCGACATTCCGATTCTTGGACTTCGTGCCAATCGAGACGGTGATTCCCACGGGTCGAGCCCTGCTCGTCATGGCGACGTGGGGGATCTCACCGTCACGTAGGAGCTCGGACGGCTGCACAGTCGAAGCGTTGCGCATGAAGAGCGTGCGCAAGGCATTGCAGGCAGGGGGGGAATCATGGGAATAAGTTGTGAGGCACTCATGTGAAGGCCAAGCTCTGTGTCGAGATAGAAGTACCCAAATGTTGTGGCCAGATGAGATGCTGCAGAAGAACCAGGAGATGGTGGAGCGTGCCAACCTGAGCTGTGGTGTTGGAGATTCAGGGAAGAATAGCGAGCAGGGGCGAGACCCAACGAGAAAAGGAGGGAGTAGAAGTGGAAAGGTGCTGAAAGGAATGTCCTTGGAAAACCAGATATGTTGGAGTTGCAAAAACTTGACTTAGGAGCAAGGACGCTACTAGGGGCTCCTGGCCTTACTACTAGGAACAAGAAGCTACTAGGGGCTCCTGGCCGTACCACTAGGAGCAAGAACGCTACTAGGGGCTTTTCAGTCACAACACATCCAACCCGTTCGACAAGACGTGGGCCACGTTTGACAAGACGTTGGGAGGCGAAAGCACATGTGGGAATGTCCGATATGGTAGAGCACTGCAGTCATGGAGTCAACGGAGGCATGCTCATATCTAGATCAGATGATGGAGCCCTGCTGCCACTTCGTTCTGTTTGTGGTCCCGTCTGCACCAGAGGGTGGGATAGACAGCGTGGTGAGATCAAACTTTGCCCAGCATGGGCTGAAATTGGGAGTCAAAACGTTTCTTAATCAACGCAACCACATGTGCTTGCGCAATACACCCAAAAGAAGTGTGACGGAAGCCTTCGAGGTCCAATTCGCAAGTCGCAGCAGCAAGCTTGCAGCTCTCCCTGTTACACCGTAGCTTTACTCCGTCTGGAAAAGCTCATCTTCAGACTCGAGTGAAGCGAGAACCATGTCCCTTCACGAGTTTCAAGCAGGGTGCGGCAGATTTCTACACTCCAAAAGAGCCCATTCCACAAAGTTGATGTTTGTTAGAATGTCAGATTTGAGAACGTGGCTAACGGTATTTTCCCATTTTCCATGACTGTTTCATGGGTGAATATTCTGCAAAGAGCCTTGCATTGTTGTTAGCCACGAAAGGGCTCACTGTGAGCTTCAAGAGGTGCAAAGTTCTCGCCCGGCAGTCTGAAGGAAACGAAGGTCTTTTCTTGTGGGTAAGGTTTACTTTCTGTCTTCTCGATCCAGCAATTCCAATCCTCAAGATTTCGATCTGAGACCGAGGCCATTTGGCTTTAGAGCAGTGCCAGCAGCAGCTCCGCGAAGAACAGCAAAGCGGCCTTGAAGCGCTACAGAAAGAGTTCGGTGAGCAAGGCTCTGATGAACAGATGCTTCAGAGCTTGTTCCGATGAACACAGTGCTCTTGTATGTTCTTTTGGCTTTTGTAAAGCCTTTGAATTGCTGAATGAAAAAGGGCATGAAACATGCACACGAGTGCTTGGAAGGGTTACAAGTTTGCAGCCCCTTAACGGTGGCTCACCCATTTTTGGTGAGTTTGGTGGATCCCCAAGTATTTGTCTCACAGTTCCTTCTTTCTTTTTGCCTAAACACTTTGCGTCTCTGGCCACCAGCTCCAAGTGTTGCCAGTTGCCCATCTCTTGTTCTTGAACGAAGACTTGAAAACTGCGGATATGGCGCAGGTGGAGATGTCTCACCCTGTCGGGTTTGTTTGCACTCCTTTTGATGGCCGCTACAGACTAGTGCAGTGAAGGAATCTTTTTGTGGGGCATCAGACTGGTGTGATTAGCTTCATTTCAGAGTTGTGAGACGAGTATAAAGGACACTGAGCCACATGTTGTGTGTGGCAAGTAGCGCAAATGGCCAGTTACTCACTTGTCTTGTTTGCAGGCTCAAATTCAGGCATGCACACCAGTGACTAGTGAAACTACTTCTGGAAGGACAGAGCTAGAATTCTGGACCATCAGACTCCACCGATTGCAGGTGAACAGACAGCTAACCACCTTGCTGCAAGACGTGGAGACCCTCCATGTGGAGGTTGGCCTTCGTGCTCAAGGCGACATGGACGAACTCTAACAGGCAAAGGAAGACAAGCGGGACATGTGATGCGGACTTTCTGAATTGCCGGCATACGAATTCTGTTGGATTTGTGTTCTGGATAGGGGGCTGGAATGTGTAGCCAATTGCTTGCGATTGAGCCCCCAGAGAAACGGTCTGGGTCTGAAAGACACGAGAAAAATGACAACGAAAGAAGAAAACTTTTTCTGTTGGAAGAAAGAACCGAATGAGACTTATTGACACGGGAAAGACTTGAGGTGCCTGGTGTGACATATTTGCATCCTTTGCTCCTGGTAGCGTCCTTGTTCCTAGTAGCGAGGCCAGGAGCCCCTGGTAGCGATGCCCTTTGCTCCGTTCGTAGCGATGCCCTTTGCTCCTAGGTGCCTGGGTGCAAGACTTAGACCTCGGGCTGAAAGACTTGCAAGCACAAGTGACCGAGGCACGAAACGATGGACGAACGCGTCGTTGGCCACGTCGTTGGACGCTTTTCTCGGTGCGGGGTAGTCGTTGTTTCACAAGAAATGGCCCCGTGGTCATGCGCAAACGCTTCTAATGTCTCCAACTGAATTTGATATGGCATGCTCCTGAGATATTTGTCCTCTTACACCCTCAGGTTGGAGGCCTGCCGGCATGTAGGTTCTTTCCGGCGCGTCCTACGCCCATTCCGGCATGACCCACGTGCGATTCCGCTCGACGGTCAGGAGACTGCTCGCCTTTCCAATGCATTGCATCGTATTTGGCCCTCCCTGGAGCGCTCCGATGAAAAGGACACATGGTCCAGGGGGTGACATGGTCCAAGGGGTGAAGCCCTGCTTGTGAACGCAATAAGGTGTTTTTCTCAATTTTTCGTAGTTGCATGTACTGGTTTACTAGCGTTCTGGTTTGAAGCGAACATTTAGGAAGAAAGCAGAGAAGAAGAAAGGAAAGGTCTGGAGAAAGAAAAGAACCAAAGAAAATAATTAGGAAAGGCACGCATTAGGAAAAGAACGCAGAAAAGAGACAAGGAATAAAAGACAGAACAGGCAAGATGTGGCCAATAGGGTCATTCCATGCCGCATGTGATTTCCGCATTTGACCACAGCTAGTGACTGTAGTGGTGGTGCCACGTAGTCCATCAACTAGACCAATAGCATCCAATAGCCAGCTTCTGCTGATTGTTTGGAAGGAGAAGAAAATGGAGGCGCCATGGGCATTTTTGAAGCACCACACAGGAGCATTGGGCATTTCCTTCATTTTTGGT